CCTCAGACGTTCAGAGATGTAACTGTCTGCGAAACTGTGGTCACTCTCCATGTAGCATCAATTATGCTAATGCTAGCACGTTCTCTCGACCTGGCCACACCTCCGCTCTCTAACCGCCCTTCCTCCACCCACACCCCCTCCCCTACCCACTTTGATGCATTTTTCAAATTTCGCCTTGGGGCGGAGTTATCTTTTCACAGGGGGGGTAAGTTACACTTTAAGAGATGAATGAACCAGTTGGCAGGCCGCATGGGCCGCCAGTTGAATAGCCCTCATGTAGGCTATATGTTCATCACCCAGCCCCACTGGTTATAATGTTGTTATTATGATCACTGTATACAGGTATTTTCTCTGGCAATATATTTGATATTGTGATACTATAGAAATAACACATTATATTTAATGGGAAATCATTGTTCAAAGGTATAACCTTATATTTTGCACCTCCAGATTGCTATTTTACACACTAATCCCAACATGTCAGCCGTGTGACAGTTCTGAATATAAWTTGATCGATCATGAACCAAGCGATGCAACAATCCAATCTTCAAAATTTGATAATTTTTCTATCAGTGACTTCATTGTCACTTGCCCCCAAACAGTCCCATAAATCATTGTGCCCTATAATCCAATAGGCGGTGGGGTTTAAATCACCATGTTTATCACAGTACGATATRTCAGTTTGTTTGCTGTTATCACAAAGTCTGCTGTGATACAATTTYGATTCAATTCAGTTCTCAAGTCAGCAATTGACATAATGCAATATCATATGCCCGTCTAACACAATTATTTAGATATATGAAATTGATCCACATCAGGTATATGATGACGATATGGATCCGTGTTTTCATTTTCCCTTGATGTAATCGAACCATTACTTGATAAATTGATACATCAATATGGATTGTTGTTTTGTTACACCACTRCTAGTCGATGCTGAACAGTGTCCGCAAAATGGTCCATGGACATAGGCTTTAACTGCAGCTAGCTTATAGGGAACTCATGCTGATTCGGCTTCAATTTCAGTGTTACAGTACTGTGTGTAGCTATCAATTTACTCTATGTTGATGAGACAAGAATGTTCTTAAGGGATTTTTCAGTTATGGATACAATTTCTTTTTTGTTTTTGAAATGTTTGAATCAAGTTTTTGATACAGATGAAGAAAAAAGGAATCAGGTGTAGTGTAGACAGGGCCTGCAGCAGAACTAATGACCTGTGGCTCTGTGAGGTAAAACTGGAAGCACCTCTGATGTCTGCTGTGTTTCAACAACTATATTTATATTCTACACATAAACTTGCTGGGTGACAGATCTTTTAATGCCTTGTCTTTGTGGACCGTTCAGTCTTCCGTGACACATAGTCACTCAGAAAGTACGGCTCATCCASTTCTTGGACCAAGATCATGTCTACGCCAAAATAAATCCACTGGCACCGGATAATTTAATTGATGCTTATTACAGATAGCGTCCAACTTCTCCAGATTTTATGGTCTTGCTAAACCTGACCCCAGGCGAGTGGAGAAGCGCTTGTCTTTGTCACTTTTGTCACGAGCTACTTTCTTGTTCCCTTCTTCCYCAACACAGCTCCTCTGAGTCCTAGCTGAGGGATTTCATTAACCATGTGGCTGAAATGAATGACTGTAATAAGTTCTACAAGTTGAATTAGAAACATAAAACCACAGAGTATTTCAGTGCTGCAGAAATCATGAAAGTTTTCTTTTTAATAAAAAAATCCTTACCTGCAGTTTTTCTGTTTGTGTACGTTTCACAAACCCCTGACTTTCTCCCAAAACTCAATTTGTATGACATTTCAATGCAGTGAGTGTGATTTATGATCCGTAWACACAAAACAGTGACTTTTATGTTGCTTATTTTGAATATTATGGCAGAGCAAAGATGGATTTTGTAAATTCTTGTGCCTCATGATCACGGAACTGTCTGTTTACCGTATTTCCTGGAAGTATTTAAAGATATCACCCTGACGCTTTCCTAGATGTCTATAAATACTTCACGATGATGTTTTAAATTGCGTGATCGTTAAGTACAAAAATCCTACAGAATCCATCTCACAGATAGGATTTTTTTTCTCTAGATTTCTTACGTCTGTTTTTCCTTCCCCTCTCTGCACAGAAATCCAAAATCGCGGTGTACGAGAAGATGTGGTCGTACATGAAATCTGCCGAGCCCTCCGTGTTTGTTAGGACCACGCCAGACGGTGTTGCCCGAGTGCGAAAGTCGAAGGGCAAGTTTGCCTTTCTCCTCGAATCCACCATGAACGAGTACATCGAACAGCGAAAGCCGTGCGACACCATGAAAGTGGGAGGGAACCTGGACTCTAAAGGCTACGGTGTGGCGACGCCCAAAGGCTCAGCATTAAGGTGGGTGGAATAATATAACAATATCCCCCATGTTGTTATAGTATTCCACCTACCCTGATGTCCCCCTGTTGTCATTCTCTTCTCTCCTTCTTGTTTTTTATGGACGCAGAGGTAACGGTAGTAATGCCTTTAAATGTACTTGGATGCACAGTTTATTTGAAGCTAATCTATGTAAATGTTTTCTAATAGAGAGCTCAAACCCAGAGGATAAGGTTAAAGCTAACAGTCATTTCATATTTWTGTCTTTCTTACTGCTGCTTTTCTCTCTCCTTCGATCTCTCCTTCTGTCCCGTGTGCTGTCCTACCTGACTGTTGTGTTGTCACTTTTAATTTAACAGTTCGATGKTTTTTCAATTTAGCCTTTAAAAGCTGCGCTGTCACTTGTGACGAATGTTAATTGCATGATGTTTGTTGTTGTTACTTTTCTTCTCAATGACAAGTGTCCCCATCCCGCACACTTCAGTTCTAAACTACGTAACCCTTCATGCCACCTGTTTCCAAGATTTAACACTGTCTCTGCCTTATATGAGCCTTTTCTTATCTCTCTATATCCCTTAAATTCTGAAACAATTTGTCCTTTCCTATAACCATTCTGATTAACAGACAGTAATCTGTGCATAAGCCTCTGCTTTGACAGTGGTAATCTCACTACCATTGTCTACTATTTATGATGCTAAATACGATTATTTGCATTCGATTTCTCACGCACCTGTGCATTTTCTTACAAGTTATGTTTTATCGTTTCAAGAAATGCTGTTAACCTGGCAGTTTTAAAACTGAATGAGCAAGGCCTCTTGGACAAATTGAAAAACAAATGGTGGTACGACAAGGGAGAGTGCGGCAGCGGGGGAGGTGACTCCAAGGTCAGCCTCGATGTCACCACAATCGGGTACCATAGTGCAGAGTAATCGGCAAGGCTGTTACGCAAACACCCAACCTCCAGCAGATTCAGCCGCTGCCGCACTAAGGCAGCTCACCGGGTTTCCTGACAGTTTGAACAGATGGTTCCACAGCTCGGATCGAACTAAGGAGCTTTTGTTTAGCCAGCAGAAAAAAWTATCAGAGTACAAAGGGAGCAATGCAATGTTGTTGTGTGTAATCATTTACGATGCTTTAGTTTTTGAAGGGGGCTGTGGCTGCTGTGTGTTTTAAMCCCAACATCAGTGTAGGGCAATTATGTGGGTGTCCAACATTACCTAAAGAGGGTAAAGTGCCAGGATTGTTTTGAAAGGGACAGAACATCTCATATTTATTTAGCCCGTGTAATGTTAGCTAATCCTGTAAACAACATTCCAAACTTTGTCCAAGCCAATGGACAATCTCTGGGCCAATTTGTTATATGACAAATTATTCTTACAGAAATACAAGTAACCTTTTCCAAAATATTATTATGTAGTATTTAGAACATACATACATACATACATACATACATACATACA